CCGTTATCGATCGTGATACTGGTTCGATCATCGCCAAGGTTACCAAGGGACAGGCAGGCTGTTGGTGAACTGACGCAAACTACGAATAGTCGGTGATCAGAACTTGTTTGACGCTGTTTGGAGGCGTAGCAGCACATCGACCGCTGCCGAATAGCGACATAAAGTATACGAAGACACCATTTAGCAACGGAGCCGTTACCTGCCCTGAATGGAGGAGGCAGACAGCGCGATGCTGTCATAGTAAGTTAGCTAACGTTCCACAGGAAGGATGGTAAAAGTTGGAGCTCACAGTTGGAAATTCGAACATCTCTAAACTTAGAGGGAACAAACAGCTAGTTGATGAGGAGCAAGGTACCAACTCAACAGAGTTCAGTTTTCGTCACCGAAGCTCTAGCGCTCTGCAATTTTCAACCTCTGCGGGGGAGGGAGGGAGCGATTCGACTCAGGTATCGCTCAAGCAGGTATCTGTGTTCTGGTAGAAATCAAATTTTGCTGATAGAATCATTGAATGGAAGCTTATCAGTGGAAGAATGGCAATCTTCTCGCCACGGTCTCCAACCCCCTCCTTTCTCAACCGGGCTTGGGACCGTCAACGGCGTAATTCGTTTGACTTAAGACGCTCCGCAATGGATGTTCGTGTTAAGAGAGGTCTACAACTATCAACCGTTCACCACCTAGTTGTAAGTACGCTACGCTGCAAGAAATTCAGTACCATACGAAGATCTGGTAGCAGAAGCAACCACAGGATCAACTGAGAAATATTATCTGCAGTAGATACGACAACGAAATGCGACAGTATCGCGCGACTCTTTTAACAGATCTCAGTGATGTCCGCTGATTAAGAAATCCAGTGGAAGCTCTTCAAGAGCGCCATACTCGACGCTGCCGCCGAATCCTAAGGATTTAAATGGATTGGCCTGCCGCATGGAGTTCACAGAAGATCTTTCTGATGGAAACAAGAGGTACAACTGGCACTTAAAAAGAAGCCAACGTTCAAGAAACGGCCTGGAAAAAAGAGCCTTCCACTTGCGTGTGATATGATGAGGGCCACATTGCAGCAGCGAAAGCAGTGGCGAAAGTCAAAGCTGCTTCCTGGGAGAAGTTCGGTGAGGTGTTGGAGTCGAATTTCCACACGGCAAACAAAGTAGTCTGGCAGACCATCTGCCAGCTCAGAGGTGAAAAGAAGGGTAATTTCACAGTCCTGAAGGACAGATCTGGACACCCTCTTACCAAGAATGATGGCGTTATTCGGCGATGGAGGGAGTATTTTGAGGAACTCCTTAACCCCGCGCAACCGCAGGAAGACTCGGCTGTAGAGCAAAAGAGTATGGGTATTACTACTCCTAAAATGAACTCCGCCGTTGTCGGTACCAAGCCCGGATGAGAAAAGAGGGGGGGCTGGAGACCGTGGCATGTCTCCGTAAAATTCAGCCACCTGCCACTCATGATATTGACCCCATCGAAAGTTATACCCGCTCGGTCGTCGTCCGGGTTACCAAGGGCCGCGCAGGCTGTTGGAGGACTGAGGCATACTGCGAAAGGTCGGCCATCAGAAACTGCTCATTGCCCTCTGCCAGCCGGGGGCGCGGAAGCACAACGACGGCTGACGAGGACCGACGCAACGACAACGAAGATACCAGTCAGCAACGGAGTCGCTACCCGTTCTGAACGGAGGAGGCAGACAGCGCGATGCCATTACAGCGAGGTTCCATGAGAAAGACACCACCAGTGGGAGCTTAGAGTCGGAAATTGGAACATATCCTAACTCAGAGGAAAAGTACAAGAGTTAGTTGATGAGGCCACAAACCACCAACTCGACATTGCTGGACCTTCGTCAACAAAACGCCCAGGTTCTGGTCTCCTGAACCTCATTGGATGGAAGCTGTTCTACTCAGACGTCGATATCACGACTCGCGCTTAGGCTGGTATTGGCGTTCTGGTAGAACCCAACCTTGTCGACAGAATAATCGGAAGGTGATAATCCTCCGACTTAAGCTACAACAGGCTAAATCGATGACCTTGGTACAGGTCTATGCGTCCAATTCAGAAGGAGAATATGAGACCTTCCTTGAGGAAGTGCAGTGTGCTCTGTCCCAAATGCCGAATACAGAGCCCCTCATACTGATGGGCGATTTTAATGCGCACGTCGGAGTAGACGCTGAAAAGTGGAACGGCGTGATT